TATCGGACAGATTTTTCAACTCTCTGGGGACAATATTGAGGTCTTTCAATATTTGTTTGTATTTGGTATGGTTCTGTGGATCTGAAAAATGTTCGTAAATTGCTTCCAAAGTACAAAAAAATGTCGATATTGATGGAACATTTTTGAGTCTACCACAGCCAAGTTAAGTCTATAAGCGTGTAAATTGCAGCACAAATAGGTCCATTGGACGTTCATTCGATATACAATTTTGATACGCAGTTTTTTATTTAAATCTTTCAGGGGGGGGGGCAGAGGTACATCAGCTACGCCAATGTGCCAAAGCCATACCATCTTATATAATAATAATATTTTTTTATTATTTCGGACTTTACTTGATAAAGATCCATATTACTAGGAAAAACTAACCACAAAAATAATTTTATTTGGGCAAAGATTTAACATTGACATATCTGATGAAAAAGTTGTACTAAATTATTGGAAATTAAAAATCTTAACAAGTATTAAAAGTAATTTTAAAAAACCGACTTCAAAATGGCATAGATGCCGTCACCACATCTTAACCAAATTTATATGAGAGCACCCTTGAGGTATAGTACAAGCAAACGATATAGTGTGACTTTAAAGCTTTAAAGCCAGCCGGCAACATACAAAAAAACTAAGGAGACTGATACATCACCTTTAAATTAGTAGAGGAGCATTCAAGAGATTGAGTATACTTATTTTATTTTTACTTCCCTCGATATTGTAATCGTGAACATTTAGATTTTCACGTTTTCGGGTCCCTAGATTACGAAAAACATGTTTTCTCCATTCCGTCGGTCTGTCTGTATGTCGTCTGTTGTCTGCCGTCTGTCTGTTGGCGCAATAGCTCAAAAACGGCTTAGAAGAAAAACTTTAAATTTTGTATGCAGGTAAAGCTTCATCTTGGCTCAAAACCGGTTATACTTTCGATCAGATATATACAGGGTGAGCAATTAAAAAAACATTTATTTTTAAAAGTTAGCAGATTTCGACTAAAATTAGTTTCTGTTAAAATTTTTATCTGATCAAAGATAACTGATCTAGAATTACTTTTTAAAAATTCAAAAGTGCTTCCCTGTTTTTACAATTTATACAGGGTGTTTTTTATTGGTATGCTAATATTGTAGGGTGTGATTCCTCAGGTCATTTTATGAAGAAAAACTCATATGAACATATGTCCGCAACGGCTTCAATTTTTTGCTACAGGCAGTTGAAAATTTGTTTATTAAAGAGATATTTTTAAAATAATAGCTTAGATATAATTTTCAATTTTGGCATGTGTTAATGGGATATAAAACCAGATATTTTAATTAGAAAATTTATTTTATTGCTCTACCAGTGGCGTCTCTGCAAACATGTCATCTGACATTTTCTACAAAAAAAGTAGTACGCTACTGCCATTTTTCCATCTTAATATTTTTACTCATTTGACTGGTCAGTTCTATATTAATACGGCATCTTGTATTTTTCTCGTCAGCCGCTCGGTTTTAAATTAAAATAATTGAAATTAATCGTCAATACAGCAAAATGAAGAAATTTTAATTTAATTGATAAACGACACTAAAGTATGTGGTTTAATATCCCATTAAAAACACAATTCTCTCAATACAGTATGTCCATGATATTCAGCAATACTATTTATGGCGTATACTTTTTTAAAAAGTTTCGTCCGTAAAACTTTAAGAAGTTCTTGTTTCTTATAGCTGTCTTAAAAATACAAATCATTGTCCATTAGAAAACTTTGTATATCCACTTTCGTCATCGTGTTGAATGTACTCTTAAACAATCTGCGTCTTGACTAACTCGTCGACAGATCAACGATTCACCACAGTTGTGGATTCACAATGCAGTACAGGATACCTATTCTCTAACTCATGGGAGCACTCCCACACTCCCATGCTCCCATACTCCCATGCCAACGTTGCCAAGTCGACAGAATAACTTTGATCTACTATTTAAGGACCGATCCACCGTTGTGTTAAACGAAGTTTAAAATGACATTTTTACATTAACAATGTCATTTTAATCTCCGTTTAACTCAACGGTGGAATCAGCCCTTAGTAATTCAAATTTGCTTTGTGATAAATACGGACCTAATCTGGCAAGCCCGCAATTCTCCCTCCCATAGTATAAAATCTGACCTTACTACGCATGTACCTGGGCTAAAAGTGAGTAAGCACGATATACCCACCTAAGAGTAAGAGAGCAAAATATATGGGAGCACTCCCATGGGAGCGCTCCCATGACTTAGTGAATAGCTATCCAGGTGGCTGGAAATACAACCGACAGGACCGGACTAGGTTTGTGAATAAACTTTTTAGAAAATTAACTTAGTTCGTTGTACATTTTTCTGATTTTTAAAATGTGAGATAAAGAAGAGGTGGTGTAAAAAACCGTGCAACTAAGCACACCCGAACTAGCCAAATTTTCTTGTATTTACGCCTTATGTTTGGAATTATCTCAACAGTAAAGAAAGTGTTACACCTATATCTAAATATTTCGTTGAATATTATAAATCAAAACAAGATGTTGATGTTGCTTGAACAGCATTTTCTCGAGTTGTTTGAATCTTCTTATTAGGTGATATGATATGTCCAACACATGACTTTTCTATTTAGTTATTACAGGCTTTTTTGGTTATTTTGTACAAATGTCAAAGTAAATATAAATTTGGGAAAGTTATTTTGATTGGTTGTCAGGTAAGACATTTAAAAATAATAAAACAGAAAGATAAGATTAATACGTGTTTAATCAAGCTAAAATACAAAGAATTTCCTTTTGAAAGATAAGATAAGATAAAAAATTCAGCCAAATATCCTAGTGAGACATACAAATGTGATGTCATTTGTATAAGGGTTTTAATTAGGTTTTCCTTTGGTATACAGAAGATATCTAGAAAAAAAAAATAAACAGGCTGGTTTTTGGAATGGGCTTTCTTTGCGAAGGAAAGACGATAGATTTTGTAAAGAAAACCAGAAATTTTTAATAAATAGTAGAAAATAAACAAATTTTCCTGAATAGTCTGTACAAATGAGGATAAACGCGAAATATGGACGGTAAAACAAGTTGCGGTATCAAAATTTCTATGGGAACTGACAGTACAAATGTGTACGTCAGCCGAGGAAATGGAACAGTGGTAAATCCAAATACATACAAACTGAGTGAGTACCTACTCTTTATGTTAACTGAATTTGTCAGTCAAGGTATTATTGAGTTTATGGAATATATCCGTTATTTACGAACTCTATAAGTTTTGTTTTATACATGATTTCTCTAAAATGGATCGTAATGGAAAAATTGGAGGAAAAGTGTAAAATTTTAATCTTTCTGTATTTTCGTTGGCAATGTATATATACATATATAAAAATGTATGTGGAAAATGTATATATTTAATTTATATTCTAAAAATTTACAGAGGTGTTGCAATATAGGTTGTATTGAATAACCGGAAAAAGCCTGTAATAACTATATAGGAAGCTCATGTGTTGGACACATCAGATTTTTATTTATATCATCCAATAAGAGGATTCAAAAAACTCGAGAAAATGCTGTTCAAGCAACATCAACATCTTCTTTTCATTTATAATATTCAACGTAATATTTAGATACGTCTAACACTTGAGATAATTCCAAACATAAAATGTTCCATCGGGAGACAACTCGACCTTATTGAAATACATATTTTGTGCGAATTAATCACATCTTTCTAATCCAAATGAAGATAAATAACCGTTTAGCTCTAAAATAATTATTTTTAAATTAACAGTATTAAAAGGATAAAATTTGTTAAACGAGGTAGCTATCATTTGAGATTATTAAAAAATTTGCCATTAGTACCTAATTTTGATAACCGCTTAGTTTAGTTTCCCTGGTAGTAGGGATTAGACGGACGGTTGAATGGTATCGTTTGATTTTTTGATATTTTACTATTTTTAATGTTGATTTTCAATATATTGTCCTTTCGATCTAATGAATTTTCGATCTATTGTCTTTTCGATAAAATGTTATTCGATAAAATATAGCTTCGATCAAATGTTATTCTACCAAATGTATTTTCGATCAAATTTTCAATTCGATAAAATGTTTTTCGATCAATTTTGTGCCACCCGGTAAAGAATTATCGCTATACATACATTAAAAATGATGAGTTTGAGGATTTTTCTCATGGACCCAATTAGTAGATTTTGACCAAATTTATAAGGGACCACCTCTGAAGTACCCCCCTTTCTAACAAAAAAAGAATCATTGAAATCGGACATCGTGTTAAAGAATTATCGCTAAACATACATAAAAAAAGACGAATTGAGAACCTCCTCCTTTTTTGAAGTCGGTTAAAAAATACACATCCATTTAACAAAACTCACCTATCTTTTAGGTACTGCAAATACACAAATCCACAAATACGTTTCAATTTTACTTTAAAAGACCATTTAGATTAAAAATTGATGTGTCGACTAAATATTTTTTATAATTTCCTAAAATATATCCAAAATAATGTTATTCCCTACTTGGTATCCGCACTGTATAAAATACCGTCTTATTAGTTTTGAAAAACCTTGTATATATACCGCACTGAGAAATAAGATTGGTTATAAAATATATATGTATTTACCACTACAGGACTAGTAGGCAAATTAAACATTCAAATTAAATCAGTATTTTCCTTCGCCAAATTTCCAACACAACTGACATTCTATACATTATTGCCTTATTCTAAACCAGTGTTTTTCAGTCTCCTTGAAGAAAGTGATTATCATTTTAAAAACTTGAAACATTAAAAAGCCGTAATAATTTTTCGTTGTGTACTATCTATTCGTATTTTAATTTAGCAATTATTTAAAACTGATAATTCTACAAACAAACCCAAATTTAATCTGTTATTAAACGTAAACTAATTCATAAAAAATCCATTTTAATTCTGATTCTAATTATCTTTTGTGAAAACCGGATTTAACTAATATTTTGGCTTATTATTCTACAATTATTACATTACTAACCTTCAGATTCACCACCTGGTTGGTGTTCTAATTTTTTTCCATCTCCGCCATGAGGCAAACCACTCGCTTCGCACAATATCAAAAACAGAATACCTGTTTTTACACAAAACATGAACATCATTATGTATATTAAAATAAAAAAAATTGATATCAACTGTCTGGAGATTATAAGAGAACTGGAGTGAAACAGAACACGCACTGGCATTTTATTATTTTTTAAACAAAAAAAGAAATGCTAGGGGAATTCTTGAGGGAATCCCTCCTGACCTCAAACTACTGTTTGCTACTGTTTTAACTACCAATGTACATTTTCTTGGGAAGTTGGTGTCTGGTATTGCTTTGATTCATACATTTGTTACTAGAAAATATTCTGCGTTCGCAGAAGTTTTGCGAAGTAGCGAAGTAACAGGATGTTGCTTCCGGGTTAAGGACACTATTTCTCAACCATTATTAATTATCTATTTTAAAAGTCATCAACCATATGGGGAGTGTTTTAAAACTCTTCACTACCTGAAAAACTATAAATACTTAATTGTAAAATTTTTCTAAATTTATATTTAAAATAAAAATACGTAAGTATACAATATAGTGAACATAAAACAAAGTCTACTCTACACTATGAAAAATGAATATATATTTATTGAAATAGGTAACCCTAATATACAAACAATTTTTTTTTTGTTACAAAACAACCACTCAAATTCAAAATTCAAAATACAAAAATCAGGAAAAATATTACAATTTATGACTGAACAAAACAGAATAATAATTAAAGTCCAAAATATAAAAAAAAAATAAATATATATAAAAGTTACAAATACAAAAGTCTAAAATACAAAATATACATATTAATACAATCAAATAAATTTTTTTTTTAAAGAAATTTGCACATTTAATCTACTTTACACTAATTTCATCAATCATGAACATGTTTTATCATTTTCTTTTTAAAAACTGTTCTGACGAACTAGCTTTAATACCAAACGGCAATTTATTGTAATGGTCAAAGCATTTAAAAAATAAGGAATTCATTGATGTTCGTTTATTTGTTCTAACTATGTGCTGTTATTTCTTCTAGAGTAGTTATGAATATGATTGTTAAAATTAATATATTATCGAAAATAAGGTGGGGCCAAACCATTTAATATTTTATATACAAACACCATAGTCAAATAGTATGATCTCTGATAAATCGAAAGAAGTAACGTTTCTTCGATATATTTTTTAAAATATAATTAAAATGTTTACTAAACAATAAAAAATTATCAAGTTAAAAGCCAAGGTATTTAGTAGATGTTGCAATATCAATTTTCTCATCGTTAATTGTAAGATTAATTGCATTTAAGTCTATATTGGTATATTTATATTTAGTAGTTATTATCATAACTTTAGTTTTTAATACGTTAAGTTTATTATACATTAAATAATTATTGGCCGATTCATTTTTTGTACCGCATTTTCCAAATTTTTATCATAACAAGCCATTAAAGAATCATCTGCAAATATATTTATAAAATCACAATCAACAAAGAGGTTTAAATCATTTATATACAAGATAAATAAAAGTGGCCCAGAACGCTACCTTGGGATACACCAATGTTAATATCCAGTGGCGTGCGGTGACATTTTTGGAAGGGGAAGCGATTGTATAAAAATACAGCAGGCCAGTAAACACAGCACCGCAGTTTAGTTTTATTAATCAATATTAGTTTATTTGAAAACAATTTCATAAATATGATGTAAACAATACATATTATGTTTTATAAATGAAAAACATACCTATGATATTGAATCCCTTAAGGAAATTTTTAAACTTTTTCGCAAAATCAGTTGATATCCGAACATTTTTGTGTTAGGGCTCGTATTATTCTTTTTTTATTTTTAGTAAATTTACAACTTCATTCCTCAATTTTTTAAATGCTCCCCATTTTTAATTTTTATCAGCACCAGAAGTGGTCTGAAATTCTTTATACATTTTATCCCTATTCTTTATTTTATAATGAATGTCATTATCAAACCATGGAACATTACTTTATATTGACAAACTTGTATAGGCGCTACATTATTTATTACCGTTTGACAGTTCTTATAAAGTTCATCGCTCCGAGCAATTACTACTAGAGGGAGTCTTCCCCCCTTCCCCGCGCTAAATTTTGTTAGCAACATCTACTCCCCCCGAGTATATTTAAGATTTATTATCTCTAATAATATGGTAAAAACATGCGTTATGTATAAAAGGCCTGTTGAAAATGATTCTTCAAGATAATATCATAAGTAAGTACAGACACAACCTAATTATCAGAGGCGGTGCATTAGGCAATCACCTTTAATTTGCAATTAAACTTTCTTATTTGCTTATCGAAAAATTAAAATTAAGAGCAAGTAAACTCCAGCTAAGTTCGTCTTCATCCGTCTTTCTCATAATGATTATAGTAAAGGTTAATTACTTATTATTTTAATATCACATCTTTGTAAAGTTTATTGTTATTTTTTTAGGTTTCCTTTTCTTGATATGAGAAAGAAATACATGGTTCCAAAATATAGGAATTCAACAAGTGACCACCTGAATAACTTTTTATGCTAATGAACATTTTTATTATAGACCTCAGGGGAGGAAAATATTAAAGAAAAATGCAATTTCGACGAAAGAAGTATAATAAGCAATCCTGTCACTACTTCTACACTATATTCATCTGCTACTAAAATACTAAAACAGCAAGTAAGTTTATTTCAAAAAGAATGTTTAAGGAAGAAGGCATAGCCATTTTTTTGTTGACATTTTTTTTTAAATAATCTAAAAGACTAATTTTGTGTATTGTTTAAATTTTCATTTTTTGTACTTAATTTGTTTCAGGTTTAAACAAAATGAACTTCTAAGATATGCATGGAATATCCCAAAAGAGCTAAGGAAGGTTTTAAAATTCTTAAGAAAACTATTCAGAGCCAAAAACATAAAATAGTCTTCCTGTCCAAAATATAAATAGGTATAAATATTTAGATATTATTAGTGATTTTTTATTCTATAAATAGAACATAATTTGCTTCTAAATCACTACCTAATGAACTATATTATATAGTACAATACTAAACAAGAATATCACATTATTCATGTTTTTTTTTAATTTCCTTAAAAAACGTCCCAAAAAAATGTGAATATTTATTATTGGAGTTTACATCGTTATGCTAAAACAATACTAGAACAACTTAAATAATGTGGATTTTGACTATTTTGAGTTATGCAGATCATTATGATCTAAAAAAATGTTTGTCTGGTACTATAGTCAGGTATAAAAACATTCATTTATTTAAACACAGTTGCAATATACATTTTATTTAGTTTTTAAGTTAAAACCTATTAGGACATCCTAAAATGACTTTTTTCGTTTGATATGAGATTAATTATTCTACATTTTTGTTGGTGAAATAGGATATATTAAGATGTCTTACTGTTTTCTCTGATTATCTTAAAAGTTAGAACAATATACAAAGACTGTTATAACAAAAAAGAGATATACCTTTACTTAAACACAAAATTAGTCAGTTGAATTGTACAATAATTTAAAGCATAAATTCAGAAAACTTTAAAAATGTGTTTTTACTATAACAAGGACATAATTATTAAAAAAACTTGGCACATTAACTTTGACGATAGGTTTTTATAATATATATTATACAAATCACAACGAACTACACAAAACGACATTATTAATAATTTAGCAATAAAAAAGTTAAGTACAATGATGACATTAAAAGTTGAGTTTCTCGAAACACTTTTTTTAAATTGTCTCAGTACCTACCTAAAATTTTTCTAGCACAATGATATTATATGAATTGCATTGTGTGATATCTTATATTTTAGGAATAAAATGATATATTTTTTGCAGGTTTCTGTTAACAACGATTCCAAGAACTTTTGAATATATTATTAAAACGGCCTTTGCAAATATAATTCTCAATTAAGAGGTTTTGATCTAACATTAAATTTTTGTTCTCCATTAGGTTACAGCTTCTTAAGAAGAAAATTTAAATAAGACTTACCAGACTCAAAATATCAAAATTTTACCAATCAATTGATGGTTCTACTAGTTTCCATGGGAAAATTCTCCTCGAAACTACTAAAAGAAAAGTGGCAGAGGCAACCGATGAAGGCAAAAAAGTCTTTTGCAAAACAAAAACTAGAAATTTGTTTAAGAATCTAATTATTGTTTGAAGTTTTACCATTAATAATTTTTGATAACGATTTAAGATTATGAAGTTTTATTATGTATTTTACTCTTTGATAACCTATGTTTAAATTTTTATTAGGACCAAAATAAATTATAATTTTCATTTCAACTACAAAAACCCTCATAATATTAAAAAGAGGAAAAAACGTTAGATTAGTTATGTTCAGGAATAAACTCTTTAAACATATATCTACTTAAAATGTGTTACTTTTAGAAGGTATGTTATTAACTTTCCATTTATTTTGTACTTGTATTAATTTATTTCATTTCATTATCTGTTGTATTTTCAAATTGATTTTGATATTAATCTTATCTTTTTATATATTTCTTATATTCCCATATATGTTTTTTTCCATTGAAACAAACGTTTATTAGCTTATTAAATATAATGAATTCATATTGTTTTATTATATGCTTGTATGAATGATTACTTTTATTTCCTTTTAAAAATGAATTTCGAAGATAAAGCCGAAACGGTGCCGGTGAGAGAGAATAAAAAATTAGACGAAAGTGACGATATTTACTGGAGCTTTCATCTACACCTGAGCCAGCAAGATTCGTCTTCCCTTCATCCTTACATTCTCCAGATTTACAGAGAAAACGCCGTCCTCTTTAACATATCTAGACCTTCTTTGACGGGGACTATACTACTACATTATCAGCTTTATTTGTTATCCCGAGCAATTTAAATGCATTCGTAATTGCTCATTCTCATCTCTTGTAGATTCCGTACTCAGTTTTCTTATTTTTAGTTACGTTTGCACTGCTCTTTTATTTTCACAACTTTAATTCTATAATGCTGTAACGCTACAATATGGATACATTTTTGTGGTTTATACTATTTAATGTTATTCGTAAGTGACCAACCTATTATAACAATTAAAGATTATTGTATACAGACCTGAAGATGTTTCTGTAAAGCCGAAACTAGTCGCTACTGTATTTATTTATAATAAAATTGATTTTAAGGTGTTATTCT